TACAAATATTTGTAAAAGACTGGGTCACTCTCAGGAGTCAGTGGATATTCCACAGTCRACTGTCAGCTGTCATAAGAAAATGGAAGTGTTTGGGAATGACAACAACTCAGCCATGAATAGTAGGCCACATAAACTGACAGAGCAGGGTCAGCAGATGCTGAAGCTCAGAGTGTTAAGAGGTCACCAACTTTCTGCAGAGAAGACAGACCTCCAAATTTCACGTGGCCCTCAGATTAGCTCAAGAACAGTGCACAGAGAGCTTCATGGAATGGGTTTCCATGGTCGAGCAGCTGCATCCAAGCCACACATCAAGTGCAATGCAACGTGTCRGATGCAGTGGTGTAAARCACTCCGCCACTGGACTCCAGAGCAGTGGAGGTGCATTCTCTGGAATGATGAATCGTACTTCTCCTTCTAGCAATCTAATGGACGAGTCTGGGTTTGTCTGACTGCACTGTAGTGTAAAGTTTGGTGGAGGGGTATTATGGTGTGGGGTTGTTTTTCAGGAGCTGGGCTTGGCCCCTTAGTTCCAGTGAAAGAAACTCTGAATGCTTCAACAYACCAAGACATTTTGGACAAATCCATGCTCCCAACGTTGGCCCCTTCCCCTTCCAACATGACTGTGCACCAGTGCACAAAGCAAGGTTCATAAAGACATGGAGAGCAGAGTCTGGTGTGGATGAACTTTGACTGTCCTGCACAAAGTCCTGACCTCAACCCAMAAGAACACCTTTAGGATGAATTAGAGCGGAGACTGAGAGGCAAGCCTTCTGTCCATCAGTATGTGACCTCACAAATGTGCTTCTGRAAAAATGGTCAAAAATGCTCACTCCTAAACCTTGTGGACAAACTTCCAGGAGAGTTGAMGCTGTTCTGGCTGCAAAGGGTGGACCAAGCTCATATTGAACCCTGTGAATCAGGAATGGGATGTTACTAAAGCTCATGTGTGAGTCAAACCAGGTGAGCCAATACTTTTGGTGCCATATATATAAATATATAGCAGTAAGGTTACATACACTTCAGGTTAGTTTGACATACATTTGTGTGTTCTTTCCCTTTTTTCTTCATTCAGCATTTTGTTGCTTTTTTATCTTCTTCTCTCAGGAAATCTGTACTTCCTTTCCATACCTACTGAGTCTCTCAGAACTCCTTTTTATCTGGACAAAGAGAACTATTTGTCCACTTTTTAAGAACTGGAAATGCACCCAACCGGTTCCTTCAAATGAACGTTCTCCTTTGAAAATCAAACCTTTACCACTGAGAACTGTGTAGCTTTGAACTAAAGAATCAGTTGCTTCCTTTTAAGAACATGACTATCCTCAGTTCATCCTCAGTGATATAAATGTCCACGTAAATGTTTAGATCCTCTGATTTTCTGTTTCTGATTCGTTCGTTTCACTGGAAACACCTTTGMACTCTTTAACAAAGACGTTGGTTACATTTTCACCAGAAACAGTGACACACAGTGAATGTTCACACTTCCTCTGCTTTTTTTTTCTTCTTTTGCCTGCCGTCACATCATCCATGGTTTCATTCCAGCACAACCTGCTTCCGCCCACTTCTCTGCTATCATGGCCTCTGCTTTACCTTCTTTCTGCTCATTTTCCTCATTAGAGGTTAACAATGCCACCGAGTCTCTCTGTTCTGCAGCGAGCTGGTGTCTGAATAACCTTTCCTCTGTCCACTTAATGTACTCGCTCCAAACTGCCTAAATGATACGAGCGCTGACCTCAGAGGAAATGGTACAACTGCAGCTCGTATCAATCCCTTCTGTCGTCTTTTTCATCCAACATCACGCCAGCTCAAACTGTTTTATTTCTTTATTTTTCATAAAATCAACATCATCAGTGAAACCCATTAACTATTCTTAATCATTAAAGTAAACGAGTAAATTTTATTTGCGTAGCACTTTTCACCAATAAACATTACATAGTGTTTCACAAGGAGCACTGTGTCGAGCACACAGCACTGAAAGTACATTTCTGTCTCAGCTGCTGCATCGGTGGAAAAAACAGGACTACAGTGACCTGTAGATAACGCAACACAAATGATTGACAGAAGTTGTACATAGTTGTTCAGAAACTTACTTCGACAGTGAAGGACACCTTTATGAGAGCAAAGKTCTCTCAAGCATCCATAATTTTATTTTTTTATATTTTTGGGGTCAGTAAAACGGCCTGAATGACCACAGCCTCRGGGAATTGAAGTTGCAGAGCCCAGGCAACCGAACACAACCTTAAAGCCCAGGTGGCCATTTGCACAAACATCAGATACACACAAATGGACACACATCATGAGTTCACTGAACATTGTCGAGCAGACAAGTCAGTGACCCGATCCTAATCCAGCCGAGCTGCACTGCACCTCCTGAAGACCAGACAGAGCGGTGGACGTTTTACTTTTTGATAAAGAGCTGGTTCTGGTGATCCTGAACCGGTCTGAGTGCCTGGAGGAGACACTAGAACACAACAAGTCCTCTGACTGTACTCTGTGATCTTTTTGTTTCTATTTTTATGATGAGCAACTGGATGACTCTGTTGTTTGGAGGAAMAGGAAGTCGTGTTTCTGAATATAAAACTGTGATCAAACTGAATAAATTATCTATAGTATTTTATGTTACATCCATTTGACTTTAAATACTTCAAGATTATAGTTTGATATAGTTTTTCAGTACCAATAAATAAATAAAAAGATTTAAAATAGCCACAGTTTGGATGGTTCATGTTTGCTATTTGTAAATTTGGATACAAACTATACAAAATAAGTTTTGAATATTTAAAAAAGATCTTGTTTACATGTGTTTAAAGTGGATGACGCTGCAGGCTTTAGTTCTATTTTCTTATTAGTTCAGCTCCTTTTCCTCTTGTCTCTGTTTCGCAGTTCAGGTGTTTCTTATAAGTTGGCTTTTTTTGTTTTGTTTTTAGTTATTTAATTAATGAGTTTTTTTTTTTTTAGTTTTCAGTGTTTGCCTGCATTCTGGGTTCAATTCCTGCACAGATCTTAAGAGCAGGGTGAGCAGATAAATGTTTTTTTCTGCAGAAATTTAAGCAAAGGGCAAATTACAACATTTTGCAGGTGAATTTTTTCACAGGTACACAAATCGTATTTTTACAAATTACAAAACAAAATTTTGCAGGTGGGTTTTGAAACATTTCTACCTTCATAAAATCTCATCACCTGAAAATGATTTTTGTATATT